AACACATACCAACAGCCTCAGCCATGAAAGCTATCATACACACACACATACAAACACACAGACACAGACACACACAGACACACACACACATGCGCGCGTGCGCGCATGCAACCAAAATGAACTAGTCAATCCTATCAAGAGTTTTGGTGCACGATACAGATTAACTCAAGAGTGTACTAATTCTATCTCGTGGAGCTAAGCAGCCAATCCAGTTTGTCTTCTTTGGTCGGGCGCCCGTGTGGAGGGCACGTACAGATTCCGTGAGCTTCACGGCACTTTTCTGTTCATGTTCTAAAATAAGTAAACAAGCGTTTCGGAGACAACAGCTTTAATATAGCTACAAGGAGGACTATTGCACTGTAAGCATTTCCTATATGTCGACATTTATGTGTAAAATGTTATACGATGATCGCCAGGCAGTGGCAGGCACACAACTTTTTTGTTTTACACATACATGTCGACATACCGTATTTTCCGGAGTATAATGCGCACTTTACATGTGCTATTTTAGGCCCTAAATCGCAGGTGCACACTATGCTCCGAATATGAAATGCATGTACTTCAATGAAGATTGAAGTGCGCACCCCCAATGAAGATTGGGGGGTGCGCGTTATACAAAGGTGCGCACTATACTCCGAAAAATACGGTATAGGAAATGCTTATACAGTGAAATCTCGTTAAGAAGAACACTGATAAGACAAACTTTCGCTTTAGAAGAACTAGTATTCATAGCTCTATTGGATAGATTACAGTGTATTCACTGGGTATAAAATACGGATAAGACGAACTTCCGTTATTGCGAACAAATACCATCGGACCCTTAGTGTTCGTCCTAAAGAGGTTTGACTATGAATACAATTAGTCCTCCTGGTAGCTATATTAAAACTAATGTTTGATGCCAATGACAGCAGGATTGCGCACAGCAGGGAGTGGTGCCTGGCAGGTGGCTACACTACTGCTATCAACACATCACCGTGGCAGTCACGCCAGGTGAAATCCCAGCCAACGTACAGCACTGACGCCCTGCACCAGTTCCGATCACATCATCATCATTGTATGTGTAGTACATGAATACATCTCAGCAACCATCACCCATCTCAGCAGCCATCACCCATCTCAGCAGCCATCACCCATTTCAGCAGCCATTCGCACCACTTCCAGGGTGTCAAGGGCTGTGCTAGTCCGGCATGCCGAGTAGGCACTTTGGGTGAGGTTTCACGCAGCACCGCTGTACACTGGCCAGGGCATCTTTAGTAGCTATTAGCCAGACCAGCAGCATGCAACATACTGGCAGAACCGGTCCGGATGGTCAGTTCATCACCAGACCATCCTTTTGGTCACCAACACGTGGGTGTACTGCTGAGGAGGTTGCGTAAACCCGCTACCGTATTTCCACAAATAGTAGGCCGGTCTACTATTTTTTCAACCTTGTCCTAACCCGGCCTTATGATCGAGGACGGTCTTGTATTCGAGGAGGATCTTTTATTCTTTCAACCCAGTTTGACCCCGGTCTTCTATTTCTCGCCACACAGTTTTAGCCCCGTTCTTCCATTTTTTTCTACACAGTTTGAGCACGGTCTTCTATTTTTTCCAACAGTTTGAGCACGGTCTTCTATTTTTAACACAAGAACAAAGACTCATTTAGTAGGCCCGGTCTTCTAATCGGAGACGGTCTTTTATTTTTTCAATCGCCCCCTGCCCCGGCCTTGTATGCGAGGAAGGCGTTGTATACGAGGACGGCCTTTTATTTGCGGAAATACGGTATATCATACACAAACTGTATGAAAGGTGAGGGTATGGCCGGACCAATCTAAAACTGCCATTCTGCCGGTCCCGACTACCGTACTCGCGCGATTAGTGCCCCTGGGGCACTATTTTTTCAATGTCCTTCACAGATGGGGCAGTATTTAAGAGAGGGCACTATTTTTCATTGCTGGTACATTTGCGTCATCCAGCATAAAACGAAGAAAAACAGAGTGTAAAGTGTACTGTAAACGCTCACGACTCGACAGAAACGGGAACAAGACCTGCGATTTTGTTCCTGAAAACACCAGTGCAAAGCTATGGCCAAGAAAATTAGCAACCAAACTTGCACATGGGCTTGGTTACAAGACCGGGGGGGGGGGGGGGGGGACTATTCAAGAGAGGGCTATATTTTTCACTGGCTCTTGGAGAGGAGACTAGGGCACTATTCGAGATAGGGCCCTATTCAAGAGAGGGCTCTAATCGCGCGAGTACGGTACGCTACCGGGAATCAAGCCCTGTACAGTCAGACCTCGTTTATCCGGTCCTCTTTTATCCGGATCCCTCGCCATCCGGAAGGAAATAGCTGGTTACATATTTACAGCATACGTGATGCATCCAACATAAACGGTGTTCGGTTATCCGGTTCCCTCGCTTTTCAGGATATTTTTTTGTGGAAAACGGATGTACGCGGTTAAGCGAGGTCTGACTGTATTGATCTTTTTTTCCCTCTTTTCTACAAAATCTACATGTCTCCAGACAGGCAGACACTGAAGTGAATAATGGAGTGTGGTGGTGGTGGATGTACAGTACCGTATTTCCCCGAATATAAGTCGCATCTTTTTATACTAAACTGCAAGGGTAAAAAAGGGGGTGCAACTTACAATCGAGCATGACTTACTACTGAAGAAAATATATCAAAACAATATGGCTCAAACCTGAAAATGGGGGTGCGACTTACAATCGAGGAAGTACGGTACATAGTAAAACACTACACTCACCTTCTGTCCCCTTGGTCCGGGCACGGAGACCTGACTGGTACCGCCGGTGACTGTGCCCGAATAACCTGGTGGGCCCCGTGGACCGGCAACGCCACGCTCGCCCTTCGAGCCGCGGTTGCCTGCTGGTCCTGCGTAACCCTGGTCAAGGCAAGTACATACACATACACATACACGCACACGACCACACGCACAAACGCATAGGCTTCCTTCGTCAAGACATCACATCCGCTCTATCGAAATTGCTCGCAATCGTGCACAACCGTGGGCTGAGGCACATCTTGGAGCGCGCACACACAACCTGTATTTCATTCAGATTCAAATCATCAAGTATACATCACGGTACCCTGTTGCGTATTACGTTGGACTAACCCGGAGCCCTGTAGCTCCTCGTGGTCCTGCTGGTCCCGTGGATCCCGCCGCACCCTAAAGACACGTGCCAGAAAACAAGCAAAATCAAAGAGAGCAGGGAAGACTACTTGAAATGCGAGTTACGAGTGATGATACAGCAACTGAAGCGGCTAACAAGATGTCCGATAGTCTGCAAAATATGCATAACAAGACTCATATGTAGCAAGGTGGCATTTTAACATTTAACGAGAAAAAGCCAAAGTTTCCTTTGAATTTAAAAAGAAAATTCAAAGGATCAGTCGGGGAAGTGAACTGTGAAAAATTCATGAATATTTTTAAAACCCTTGTTGTTTGAGATTCACCTGTCAGGCTTCTACTATGGATGTAAAGCCTTTTCAACTCGCTCAAACCATGCAATGAATAAGTATGTTATGCATAGTCTAGCACAATGCAATATCAATAATGACAGTGCTGGTGTTCTGTACAAACCTTTATCCCATATCCGCGAAGACCTTGGGCTCCAGTCGCACCAGCCCGTCCTGGATATCCACGTGCTCCATTGGTACCAGCTGGACCGGTAGCGCCGGTCGAACCCTGACACAGACGCACACACGCACACGCGCGCGCGCGCACACACACACACAGACACACACACCATGTACACACACAGACACGGACACAGACACACACACACACACACATGCAGACACACGCAGACACACACACACACAGACATATGCATGCACGCGTGCACACACACACACACACGCACATACACACACATATATACACATACTCACATAATATATATGCACACAAACACACGCACATTAATGCCTGACGGGAGTGAACAAAGATAACAAAGCGATGTGATGACCCTGCATAGCGTGCAGGGAGCAAGCAGAGACCAGCAGGGGGTCGGCTTATCGCAATCAAAAGAAAAGGAAAGAGCAGCGTACCTGACAGGCTGGCTATACTATATATGCAGAGTGAACATGCAGAGTAAGCATGACTACAGACAACCTCACTAATAGCAATAACGACTGCGGATAAAACGACAATTCGCGAAAAACGACAGAATTTCCGTGCCCAGAGCAAAGTCCCGTCTAACTGTAATACATATGAGACTTCGGGTATAAGGATACTTCGCGAATAAGGACACTTTTTCGATTCCCCGCCGAGTGTCGCTATACGCAAAGTAGACTGTACTACATAAGTGCAGTATAGGCGGAACGTTCCGATAATGTATAAAGGACATTTTGCTCAAGCAGGGAAACGTCCGGGATAGCAAGAAACAGGAAACGGTCAGCTTCGGCCGCCGTGGCTTACCGGTGGTCCGCGCGGTCCGGCTGGACATGTTTGTGTGCAGGTGGCGCCACCACCACCACCACCATTGCCTGTGTTGGAAGGAGCTGGCTGTGGGGTGCGCACGGCGGGTGGCTTGGCGACCAAGTACACGGACGGACTGCCGCAGCGCACTGGCGATGTCTGTTCCATTGCGTGCACACACACACACACACACACACACACACACACACACACACACACACACACACACACACACACACACACACACACACATATATGCACACATGTATTCACACATGCACATATGCACACATGTATTCACACATGCACATATGCACACACACACACACACACACACACACACACACACACACACACACACACACACACACACACACACACACACACACACACACACACACACACACACACACACACACACACACACACACACACACACACACACACACACACACACACACACACACACACACACACACACACACACACACACACACACACACACACACACACACACACACACACACACACACACACACACACACACACACACACACACACACACACACACACACACACACACACACACACACACACACACACACACACACACACACACACACACACACACACACACACACACACACACACACACACACACACACACACACACACACACACACACACACACACACACACACACACACACACACACACACGGTGACACAGACACACAGTGACACACACACACACACACACACACACACACACACACACACACACACACACACACACACACACACACACACACACACACACACACACACACACACACACACACACACACACACACACACACACACACACACACACACACACACACACACACACACACACACACACACACACACACACACACACACACACACACACACACACACACACACACACACACACACACACACACACACACACACACACACACACACACACACACACACACACACACACACACACACACACACACACACACACACACACACACACACACACACACACACACACACACACACACACACACACACACACACACACACACACACACACACACACACACACACACACACACACACACACACACACACACACACACACACACACACACACACACACACACACACACACACACACACACACACACACACACACACACATGCACCGTGGCAGGCATGCACACAGTCACACACAGACACATACAATGCAGACACTGTCCATTTTTAGCAGGTCATACACGAATGCATGTGTGCACAAAGGTAGGTGGAGGCAGGGAAAGCGAGGGACAGAGCGAGAGCGTCAGCGATTGCGCGGGTGGCTGTTTCTCCCGTGTGCATGTGCGCATGTTTGTGTGTAAGATGGCACAGCAGTCATTGTGGCAGGCCGGACCTTGATTATTGCTAGCGGTAATATCACACTTTACCTCACAAAGACGGCGTTATCAGGAGTCAAACTAACCCGCATGCACATTTAACCACCTAGCAGATACACACTAGGCGGGGGGGGGGCAGGGTCAGCTGGATCGACATTCCCGCATCGTCACTTATTCATTAAATCTTGTACCAGTACTCATTGTGGAACTCAGGATCAACCCTTTCTAGTGCACTAAACTTCATGTTAATATTGCAAAAGAAGGATCTCCAGGCGGGATTCGACACCCTCCCCCCCCCCCCCATATTGGGAAAGGTGTCCTTCCAATTAGGCCACCGGAGATCACGCACTCTGCGACGTGGCCCCGACTTGCTACACTGGGTCCCCCTCCCAACAGGCTGTGTCCACACCCCGTACCTACTCGCACACGTGTGCATTGAGAGGGGGGGGGGGGGGGATGATGAGCTGTGGATTGGAGCTTCCCGCTCATTGCCAGGTGCCAGTGATCAGACCTCAGACCTGCGGTATAGCAGGAACACTTGACTTACAGTAGCGGTGGGGTTGTAGTGAATATCACCACTACGCATAGTCGGGTAGAAAACTGTGTATGTGTGTACAATTGTGCACCTGTGTGTAGAGAGGAAGAGAGAAAGAGAGAAAGAGAGAGAGAGAGAGAAAGAAAGAGAGAGAGAGAAAGAGAAAGAGAGAGCAAAAGAATGAGAGATGGCAAATAATGAGATAAAGACAGAGAGTGATAGAGACGTAAAGATAGAGAGCAATTCCATAAACGGCAAAAGGAAACACCCAGCAAGTGAAGCAGCCAGGCAGCACTACAGTGTACATCCAGGCAGACATGCAAGCGACACTGTGGGCACTGATATAGGATGTGTGCGGGATAGAACACCTACAGAGGTGAGGGTAAACAGGCGAGCAGTCAATGTCATGAGTATAAAGACCTCTGGTCGGCGGAGCTTAAAGGGGAAGTTAAGGCAAAAATTAAAATTTCACCAGTTGTAGTCTTCGGGGTGCTGAGTCGAATGGTCTTGGTCCGAGAAAGCTGAGACGCTCCCTTCCTACTTGAATCCCAATCGAACTCGCGCACTTACACCGAAACTGGGTGACTGCGCCCTACTAGATGGGGATTTGTATGCAAAATGTCACTAAAAGCGCCATTTCATTCGTATAAAAGCACGGATGACCGCGATTGGCCCATATGGTGTAGTCTTTTGGACGCTGAGTCGACTGGTTTTGGTCCGAAAAGGCTGCGATGCAGCGTTCCTCCTTTATTCCCAATCGAACATGGTTGAACAAGCGGTCACGTGCTCCTGGGTGCCCAAATCACCTGGTCACCACGCCAGCAGGCGACAACTTTCACACCAAGGTTCAACTCGAGTGACAGGACTGCACCCAAAAAAGGTCAAACAGGCTAGTAAGTTGTACCCTGCAGGCACGGTGACCAGGTGACTGGCGTACGCAGGAGCACGTGACCGCTTGTTCAACCATGTTCGATTGGGAATAAAGGAGGAACGCTGCATCGCAGCCTTTTCGGACCAAAACCAGTCGACTCAGCGTCCAAAAGACTACACCATATGGGCCAATCGCGGTCATCCGTGCTTTTATACGAATGAAATGGCGCTTTTAGTGACATTTTGCATACAAATCCCCATCTAGTAGGGCGCAGTCACCCAGTTTCGGTGGAAGTGCGCGAGTTCGATTGGGATTCAAGTAGGAAGGAAGCGTCTCAGCTTCCTCGGACCACGACCATTCGACTCAGCACCCCGAAGACTACAACTGGTGAAATTTTAATTTTTGCCTTAACTTCCCCTTTAATGGGCCCCACCACCACACTCCATCATTCACCCCAGTGTCTGGAGATATGTGGATTTTGTAGAAAAAAAATAACCACTGGGGGGGGGGGGGGGGGGCACTGCTAGGATGATGACATCATACTGTACTTGCATTTTTATGGCTCGTGACACTGCTCTGCGACGGGTCGTGATATGTGTGTGTGTGTCACTGTGTGTGTGTGTGTGTGTGTGTCACTGTGTGTGTGTGTGTGTGTGTGTGTGTGTGTGTGTGTGTGTGTGTGTGTGTGTCACTGTGTGTCTGTGTCACCGTGTGTGTGTGTGTGTGTGTGTGTGTGTGTGTGTGTGTGTGTGTGTGTGTGTGTGTGTGTGTGTGTGTGTGTGCATGGCAGGTGCTGCAGTACATGTACTTACGTAATTTGCAACACTCCTCTGTCAGTGGACGGTGATCTCCATTTGAAGCGCAGCTCACTCCACGGCGTCTCGGTGGACAGCTGCGTGACACCACTCTGAGTCGGGTCAGGGGTTGAGTGTTGAGACACGTGCACACACACACACACATGCCGGCACAGCGTAGACAGACAGATAGAATGACACACACACACACACACACACACACACACACACACACACACACACACACAAACACACAAACACACACACACACACACACCATTGGACGCCATGCCGGAGGCGATGATAGCGATGCTACAGCAGAAGCCATAGCAGCTTGTGCTGGGATTGCACCATTCAACAGCTTGCAAGGCTGAAGAATTGACTGCCACTATTCAGCCTGGTCTACGCCATAGATAGGGTTCTCCCTCTGTCAACTCAACCTGCGTCCTTATCAACTGGCCAGTGGACTTCTCGACTCAGTCGTTTCATCCCTACTAGGTATAATATCCGAACGCCTTGTAGCCTGCTGCCATTGCTGGTGAATACCGTACTGGCAATATATGTTGCCGCGTAACGCGTAACGCAGGGGGGTGCGGCGTAACGCACGACCAGGCTAGTGCGACAAATTTCCGTTGAGTTCGTAACGCGCGTCCGGCGGGGTGCGGCGATCTTTTCATTGCAGTTTGCACTGCACAAGAAAAAATGATGCGGCAATAGCAAAAAAGTGATGCGGCAATAGCAAAAAAAGGACTGCGGCAATATAGAAACCTGTGTAACGGCTCCTGTGCGACTTTGCATGTAACGCCCTGCGTGCGGCAATCATGTGCCAATGTAACGCTTCATGGCCTCACTGCGGCAACATAATATTATATTGCCAGTACGGTACATACTACAGTTGAAGACATTGAAATCCGTTGAGAAGGCAAGCGGCTACGGGGCGCTGGCCTTGCAACCGCGAGCACTGTGGGTCTATTTTCACAGTGTGCACGTGAACTACAGCGGCATATGCATGCTACGGCAATACGGCCGCCGACCTCGGTTATTCCAGCGAATTTCAATGCCCACAACAATATCACAGATATGACAAGCAAGGGAAGCAAAAACCCCAGAGTTGTCCAGCCAGACTACGTCAAGGCTGCACCAGCCATGGACCGCTGCCTTCGCTCGGGTGTGCAAATTCAGCATGATCGCACGGCAACCACGCAGAGAGAATCTCGCCGGGCTTGCTGACCCGTTTCACGCACGTTTCTGTCCATGTACAAGGAATAGGAGCAAAGGTGACAGAATGGTCTGCTGTATACATTGTACGGTTCTGCCGATTCTAATACAGTAAAAAGTTTGAACCTGCCCTAATCGGACACCCTTGGTGCGACGGAAACCGTCCTGATGCGACATGATTCCGCTTGATGCAGGGATGCACGTTCGATCCACAGCGTTTCGGTGCATGGAAAATTTCAATTTGTCCGGTCAGTATAGGATTCCACCTAGGACAGGGTCCAGCAAAACACAGGTTTTACGGTAATACTTTTCGAGCGGAGCATGGCGTTGTTTTCGAGCACTATCCGCCAAAAACTACAGCCACAACAGATCTGGCGGAACCTGTCCAGTTGGTCGGGCCATGGCCACCGGACCAACCTTTTGGCCACCAACGTGTGTTAACTGTGTGTACCCTCCATATCATACACAAAGTTTTTTATTTTTTGCCATGGCTGGCTATAATCGCCCTCACCTCCTCCTTGATTGGCCATGGCCATGAGTGTGTGCGTAATAATAATAATAAGTATGAGAGACTAGGGCATGGCCGGACCAATCAGAAACCGCTTCCGCCGGTCCTGCACAATAACTTACCGACGGTGGTGAGCATGAACTCTGCCGGGTGAACGATGGTAGATGACGTGGATCCCACTCGCCGACGGCATCCCGCGCTACCGTACTCCCCTTCCTCTGCACACGGCAGAAGAAACCCTTGAACACCGGGCCGCGTACAATGACTGGAGTTGGTGAGAGTTTGAACACCCGCATACACACCCACACCCAAACACACCCACACACACCCACATGCACATGTGCCACGTGCACCCACATACACGTGCCACACACACACACACATATACAAACAAACACACACACTCACACACGCACTCAGACACACACACACACACACACACACACACACACAAACACTGAAAAACACACACACACACACACACACACACACACACACACACACACAAACACTGAAAAACACACACATGAAGAACATGCCGAGTTTTAGCAGCTTTCCTTAGCTTTGCTGAACCCAGTACGTCTGGCTGAGTCGCCGGGATCCATTAGCCTTTAGCACTTTTAAACCGTATTCTTTTGGTGTTGAAACTTGAAGGGTCATGCTCGTCTCTGACCTGTCCAATACTGGCCACTACAGGCCCGGGGGATCCGGTGCCGTTGCCCTGGCCATGGCCGGATCATTCTTTTGGCCACCAACACGTGTGTTTACTGCTGAGGAGGTCATGTGTATACCCGCCGTATCGAACACAAACCGGATGAAAGTCATGTGTATACCCGCCATATCGAACACAAACTGTATGAAAGTCATGTGTATACCCTCCATATCATACACAAACTGTATGAAAGTCATGTGTATACCCTCCATATCATACACAAACTGTATGAAAGTCATGTGTATACCCTCCATATCATACACAAACTGTATGAAAGTCATGTGACTACCCTCCATATCATACACAAACTGTATGAAAGTCATGTGTATACCCTCCATATCATACACAAACTGTATGAAAGTCATGTGTATACCCCGCTCCATATCATACACAAACTGTATGAAAGTCATGTGTATACCCCGCTCCATATCATACACAAACTGTATGAAAGTCATGTGTATACCCTCCATATCATACACAAACTGTATGAAAGTCATGTGACTACCCTCCATATCATACACAAACTGTATGAAAGTCATGTGTATACCCCGCTCCATATCATACACAAACTGTATGAAAGTCATGTGTATACCCCGCTCCATATCATACACAAACTGTATGAAAGTCATGTGTATACCCTCCATATCATACACAAACTGTATGAAAGTCATGTGACTACCCTCCATATCATACACAAACTGTATGAAAGGCTAGGGTATGACCGGACCAATCAAAACCTGCTTCCTCCGGTCCTGCGCGACTAGTAGCATGCAGGACACCTCAGGTACGACGTAGACCTACTTCGAGTACTTTAAATGGTATACAAAACAGAAAGGTACCAGCCGTCCAATAGAGTGCTCGATGCCCAAGGCCAGAGCCATACATTTTACAGCAAGAAGAAAAACAAGGAAGAGGATGAAGATTTTGTGGTAACGTGAAGTTTCACGCACCAGGTGTTCATGGGGTAACAGCTGTCTGAGTGATGATCACCAGGCCAGGTGTTCATCGGACAGCAGTTTGTCTTACGACCACCTGGTGCGTGATCGTGAAACTCCGAGTCACAACGAAATCGTCATCCTCTTCTTCGTGTTAGAAGTACTAGTACATGACAAAGTACCATGATACTACTGTTTCTACTGAAGTAGTAACATTGTGATGCAGGGGCGTCGGACACGGTACGGTCACTATGGTATTGGGGTCACTACGGTAATGACCGTACCACTTCTTGCCCTAGGTACCCCGTGAATCAATAAAATACGCTCATCTGGGCTCTAAAATTCCAAAATTTTCGGCTCAGCCACCACTCCCTCACGACTCACGAGTAAACTGTACTTCAGATGGCTGCCTGTAGTACCACACTCAACTACAGTGCTGGCAACTGAAATCCGACCCCCTCAGTGGTGCGCTCACATCGCAAAGAATGTGAACCTGGTACCCACCGCTCAGGGTCAGGGGGTCGGATTTCAGTTGCCTGCACTGTACCTTTCGACGCCCGTGTGCAGCTGCATGACACTCTTGACAGCATGTAACTTGTTGTTACACTATGAGTATGAGTATGACTGTTAGCATGGTTAGCACTGCATGCAGTCGACTTACTGTCATACAGCGTATTGCGCTGATACCCCTGGCACATGTTGTGCGAGAAGGAGTATCCCGGATTGCCCGAGGTCGGGTTGGCACCGTGCGATGGCATCATCGTGTCGCACGCCCCGTACGGCGCTCCCACCGTCCTAGCGTGCACACGGCCACCGACAAGCAGCAGCAGCAGCGCCACGGCGGCCATCAAGTACTGCGTCGCGGGATGCGTTCCCGCCATGACTGCGACTGGCAGGAGAGATTAAGATGCGAAGAAGAACAGAGAGGAACGGAAGACGAGAAGACGTGCTAATGGAATTTGCAGCCACCAACACGTTTAGCGCTGTACTACGATCTCGAACACAGCTCCGGTGCACAAGGTGCAGTCAACCACGAAGACACAATCAACTTTTTTCCACTGCAGGATTCGACTGACAAGCTCAGCAAAGTTCGTGTTGCGATGAGCGGGGGATTGTGTTAGGCTGGAATGACTGGATGTGGGCCAACTCCGCACAACCTCTCAGTTGTGATGTCTGATTGTCGAGCAATGGCGACAGTCGAAGTAGCGGTATGCTGCAGTTGACACACGAGAGGCCGAGGGCACGATGACCTAGCTAAAGAGTAAAGGTTCAAAGCCACGCTCGCTGCAGGATTTCCAATCCGTCCGGCCGGCAACTTGAAGCAAATTTGGTCCCAGAAACCGTTAGCGGACGATACTAATATTAGTGGTCGTAGCGGTCGGATGGTCTTGTGCTCGCTACCTCTGGCCCGCTGCTGCTCCTCCCTAGCCTGTGAGTTGTAGTGTGAGATCGAGTGCAACAGCTAATTCATTGCCTATAACAATGGCATCCATAGAGCGAGAGGGTTCCATTCTGCATGGCCAGATAATAATTCCTCGTGTCAAAGTCAATGCTTTTTCCTGCCAGTGACACGGTCACGGCTCGTTAGCGCAACCGACAGGTCGAAACAGGTGACTGATAGTGATAGATAGAAACGCCAACTGCGCTATATAGACTAGTGAACAGACTACAAGGCACAGACGGACGGCGAGCATTCACACTGGCTGTGGGCGTGTGGTGGATTTTTGTGCTAAATCAGTGTCACCATAATCAGTACAACTACAAGTCATCATGTACTGAGTCTTGACGCTTTGCCACAAACTGGAATGTGTGCACTAATCTAAGATTTATGTGGCGCTACTAGTACTACATGTGCAGTGCTGGCAACTGAAATCCGACCCCCTCAGCGGTGCGCTCACATCGCAAAGAATGTGAACCCACCGCTCAGGGGGGGGGGGGGGGGTCGGATTTCAGTTGCCAGCACTGTAGTAGACGCTACTGGGTATTACCTGTAATAGGCTGTATGAGTACATGTACCCTGTTACAGACTACATAACCACTGGGGTTATGTCCTCTTGCCTTGGTATTACCATGATTACGCTCCTCGGCTTTCGTCTTGTTGAGCACTCTCGAGTCTCGGTAGGCTGCTCTAGTGCTGCTGCATCACGCATTGGCCGCTACTTTTCGTAGTTTTAATGTTTGTGGTGCCTCCTTTGCACCATGGCTGGTAGCTCGGCCTATTTAGCTCTTACAGTCTTAGCTGTACTGATGAGGCCTTTGTGGCCGAAACAGCTTGCATGCTGTCTACAGCATTGGGTAGCACTGTATAATTACAATGTATAATACTAGTAGTACCTGCATGTACACTACACTACAGGCAGTCCTGTAGAAGTGTAGATTTATAATAATAATAATTATGATATAACCTAACACTGGTTATATGCTGTCAATCTAACCATTAAGTGTAGATTTGTGGGTGAAATGAATGACAGCTACAATAGTGACACTAGCTAGCCACACGAACCCCTCCCCCCCCCCCCCCCCCCACACACACACTAGTACCAGACTACCAGTGCAGTACCAGCCAGTGTCGGTACATGACTTGTCATGTACATGTACATGTATTATGCATTCAGTACATCACCATGATCACAATGACATTCTGTGTGAATACTCTCAGCAAGTAAAAGCCGTGTATGGCCTGCACTGCCCAGACGGCAAAAGACGAGGCGGGTCGGTAGGTGACTTGTAGCCCCCCCCCCCCCCCACCCGGTCAAAATCAAGAGTCAAGGTTCGAGAGTGGAAACGACCGTGAAAGGAGATCACCATTCATGGTGCATGTCCAAGATGCATCTGAGCTGAGGTTTGTTAGTTGGATGCCAGCAACACAAATGGGCCAATGAGCAGGCGAGAACACTGGACAGAAACGCCAGCATGCAGCAAAGCAAGCAGAAAACAGTGTGAAAGCAATCAAGAATGACGTCATTGTGTTCACATAATAGTGTTCACATACATGTACCACAGTGCTGGCAACTGAAATCCGACCCCCTGGGCGGTACGTTCACTTTCTAGCGGCCTCTATTTCGTAGTGTTACGATGTGAGCGCACCGCTCAGGGGTCGGATTTCAGTTGCCAGCACTGTAGCACAGTGTAGATCAGGTAGTCGCCTTTCATGCCGGCTTCTGCTGCTGAGTCCTGGCGCAGGTTCTCGAAGCACACCGGCAAGTAGTTAGTTTACATACACAACACGATAACAGGAGGAAAACCTGACCACAATCATGATGAAGACTCAGGGCCCTGGTGTCGTGAAGACGGCCACTCATTTCTTCCTGCACTGTGCAAAAGGAAAGACTCATCCGAGTCATCGCATGATTCACGGCGATTCAGCTCAACAGCTGGACTCAGTCAAAGACTGGCTGACACTGTGACAGAAAAATACAGGTATTTCACGACTCCCTGGTCATCATGGACATGACATATACATGTGCAGTCTGATTGTGTCTACCCGTACCCACGATCAGACTGCTCATTGTGTTCATGATCAGGTGATGTCATGCTTGATCAATACTAACAGTAGAACAATCATGCAGCCGGACTTAGAACTGAATGACTCCGCACCTGGCGGTGGGGAGCTCCGCCCAGCCGCAGCGTCAACGTGAAGACACGTCACCGACCCAGATGGCTTGAATGGCTGCCATTGCAATGTCAGCCGTGTATTATTTGTTCGTTCCTGGATGTCTTCTTCTTGACACTCACTCCTTATACACTTTGTAGCGTTTGCTCTGAATTGTTCTTCTTACCTTTCTTTTTTTAACTCTTTTCTTTTCTTTTTCCAACTTCTGCCCATGGCGTCCCTCTCTCAGCTCGTCACGTGACAACAGTTACTGCCACCACCATGACACTGTCGTGAGAAGGTGCTCTCTGTAGACTGTAGACGAGGTTGGTGTGCAAAATATTGATTAACACCAGCGTGTAGACGGGGTGTTCCGACGTGGTGAAGGCCTATCCATGGCCGCGTCGGAACATCACCAAAGCATAATTTTGAATTTTCCGAGCATAATGCGAGCACCCATGAAAGCATAATTCCATGATTTCACGAGCATAATCCGCCGGAGCCTAGAGGTGAGTAGATCAGCTCACCAGCAAGTGGTCACAGACCGAAAATCCCATTCACTGCATCCATGTTTTCCTCGTGCCAGGCCACGAGTTCCCAAAAACAAGGTTTATCTTACGATAATAGAGAGGTTACAGTACAGAGTTGCTCAATGAAATCCAGTCACGACGTGAGAGCTTGCGCTATTCCTGCCGACTTAAATTCTCACTGGTCAGTCTGACTGACTCTCGTGAGTCAGTCAAGTGAGAATTCAAGTCGGCAGGAATAGCGCAAGCTCCCACGTAGGGAGCAACACACAATTAGACAAGCATCGCCGAAGTCGCACCAACCTCTTCTTCACATTGTTGTCCCGGCGGGGGGGGGGGGGGGGGGGGGGGGTTGCGAATTAGATGGTTTGGAGGCAACAATGTTGTGAATGGCCAACGGTCCTCAGCGTTTGTTCAGCACCTCCATGGGCGACACTGACTCACGCTGCTCTCTGTGGTTCACGAGGTGTTTGTCGCGCTGGAAACGAAGCGTCTCTGTTCGTATCCCTGGTGATGTTTGTGCCTGGAGAGCACTATACATGGGTAAGTGGTGCTCTTCAGGCACAATCTTCCTCAGCCTACTCAAGCTCAACTGATGAGGGGTGAATTCCCCGAAACACTGTGTATTGAGCAGGGAGTGGCGCTTTCTTGCAGGTTTGCCGAGTCGAAGGTTCGATGGACTTCTCGCGTGCTCTGGATGGCAGTCGTGAGTGAGTCGAGTGAGAATTCAAGTCGGCAGGAATAGCGCAAGCTCCCGCGTAGGGAGCAATACACAATTACCCAAGTATCGCCGAAGTCCCTCCAACCTATTCTTCAAGAAAAGAACCCAAGAAGACTCAAACAACTCCCTAGTACAAGTCATGTAGTATAATGAGGGTCAGAACCAGGGCTAACACCCATATGGTTCAAATGGTCGCAAGACCGGCGGATTCTGCTCGAAAAGGTGGCAGATTCTGCTCGAAAAGCAGTGCAATTGGCAGAACCATTGTTAGATAGGAATACATACATTATGACATGCACATGTACTTGACTTGTTACACCAGCCTCACCTTCTATCCTCTTTTTACATGCACTACTAATACTATACTATGCGCTGTATTCATGTATTGTTCCCACACACTTACGAGGTTGACCTTAGATAGCACACTGGAGACCTTTTGATGCATTTCACTTTCAGCCACCCTTTTAGTTATCTACACTAATAGCTGTACATACATGTACATCCTAATTCCCCTTTCAGCAGTTGTCCTCCTGGTATTATTGCACACCTACAAGTACATGTATACGATGTATTGTACACCCTTCTATTCAGTTCTTCCTCTACAACGTATTCCTCTTGCACAGGTGCCATGTCCCGACCTTTCCCATTCTTCTGCCCACACAATCATGTACCTCGTAGTTTGACCTTTCTTCTTACTTCTCTCTGCTCTACGTATCCCCTGACCATAGGCTAGCTTACTTACTCACCCTATAAAAGCTGCTGCCTTTCTAGTTTCCAACGGGATTAGTTTCTTGCCGATTAAGACCAGCTCTCCGCAGATCAGTTCCCTGTGGATTAGTGTCATGCTAGACTACAGTGTATTACCTGAGAACTCTTTCTCTCTCTCTCTGAATAAGTGTGCAATTCTGTATGATAACCATTATCCATTAATGTAACCGCTTGCTCTACCGACTGAGCGAAACCGGGACTTAACATTTGGCCCCCAACAGCGGTTCTGAACGACACGACGACCTGAGATTTCCGTATTCAATCGTAGCGAGTATTTTATTGCCCAAGTTTTTCTCCTCCTAATCCTATTCGTCAAGATGAAGTTCGTCCCAGTCTTCTTCGTCACTTTAGTGGTATGTCTGGCTGTCAACAATGCTGTGCCATGGCAAGCACGTAGGCAAGAAGATTCGCAAGATGATAATGAAGGCTTATGCTGAGTACGTGGACAATCCCCTACCTCATAGCGCTATGTCTGACCAATCGCACGCAGTGTCTGTCAACGTTGATTCTCCTTCCTGAACCTATTACGAGAAACTCTTCAACCTCATCTACGGAAATATCTAGTAAGTCGTTTCACTGTGCCAACCATATCATACAAACTACGCTATCCCTCGCTAGTTTATTCGCTGTCTTTCCGCTATCATAGGCATAGTTGTTCCAGTCCATTTTTTCACACTCTCAAGTCGCATCATTCAACCCATCCCACTCCCAGCCCCATCATTCTATCAAAAGTCTATCTTACATACAGATGCATACAGTACACAGTGCACAGTACTGTAACTACATGTAGTTCTGGATCACTCAACATTTTACAATGGCCACA